CAAAGGAGAGTGTACCTCCACATTCTCCTATTTTCCTTACCTTTATCTTTTAAATATTCTTGGGTAAAAAAAGATGCTTTGAGTAAGGTGACTCAATAGATAGTGAAGAACCATAGAGTATTATTATAAAGCTGTAGCATCTTGAGGGCAACATGCTAAATATATCTCTGCTGCACCAGTTAATTTACTTTCCGTAAAGTTGTTAATTGCCTTAAAGTGAGTACATTTTTCACATCTATTTCGATGATATTTTCTTATTTATATTTCTTAATAAGTTCACTAATTATTATTTTATTTGATTTTGTGATCGAGACACAACAATAATATGATGTAGAGATAGAAAAGAATGTTCAAAGAACAACATGTTTTAGGTAAAGGAGAAGAGTTACACTCTTAACTCTAATCTAGTGGATCAATACTTCATTATCTTTCACAAGCACTTGCATCTTTTTAAACACTCTAGATTTTAACATACAAGATGTAGTGGGAAACAAGGTGACACTTGCACATGACTGCATCTGCATGAGTTAGCTAGGAGGGTAGTTTCGGTGGAAGATGATGAATTCATAATACACGGAAAGTTCTTACAAATAAATAATATGTGATATACCTTATTTATTGATAATATTTAAGTAAACCACGTAAAAAAAAATTGATGTGGAAGTTTCTACCAATTTATAATTTTTTTTTTTGTTTGTATGTTATCTTTTTATATTAGTTAATTATGTAATTTGATTAAAGAATATATTTAAAATTAATAGTTATTAATTGATTATTTTAATTTAATATTTGTAAAACCAAAGTACTATTATATTTTTTATTGCAAAGTACTATTATATTTAAACTTATTTATCATTAAAAATTTACTTTTTTAGATATTAGCTATGAAGTATCTTTTGGTACTAAAATTAGTTGTCATATACATTTTTTGTGACAATTTTTTTTTGTCAAAGATATATGCTATAATTACAACAAATATCTTGTTGGTTTAATATTAGTTTAAATAATTAGTCACATGGATATTGCATTAGTAACGAGTTTTATATTTATAATTTGTAACAATAAAAATACCTTTTTTGGTTCAATATCGGTTTAAATAATTGATAACGAAATATTTCATCACAGATAGTCAATTGCATTTATGACATTTTTTTTTATCATCCAATTGTAACATATGTGATGAATAAAATTATTGAAAATAAAACATTAATAATGTTGATTTTTTTCTATTACTATAAAATTCTTTTTTATGACAAGTGTCACTAAGAGTATTACTGACAAGAGTTTTACTAATGATTTAAATTTTATCATTAATTCTAATTTGTGACAAAAAATAAAGCTTTAGTGATTAATAATTTAATAACTAAATGTGAGTTTTTTCTAGTGCTTTTTACAAATAATTAGTTAGAAAATATAGTAATATCAATTTTTAGACTCATTTAAAATAAATATAAGTTGTATTCAACTATCAATTACAAAATAATAATTAGAATTATCGCACTTGAGTCTCGTGACCGATGGTTATGTACCTTACTGTAAGGTGCTTCCTCCAGCCATACCGTTTGCCCTCCTCCAAAATTGTAATTAGTTCAAAAAATTATTATTATTATAATTATCAATTATTTCTAATACTCGAATCAATTATAGGCATATATTTTTCTCCCATTTTCTACCCCATCCTGCACCCTCATCTTCTGTCGCTATTTTTAGACTTGTAATCTTCTCTCATTTTCTATCCCATCCTGCACGTTCATCTTCTGTCATTATTGTTCTGAAAGTGTTGGGTTTTTGGGTTGACTGTTGAATTATTGCTGAATTATTTTAAATATAAAATTTACTCGCTAATGAATTTTAAATAAAATTTTTAATTAATAATTTATATACAAACGCACGAATTTTTTTAAAAAAAAATTTCAAAAATTATTTAAAAATTAAATAAATTCCCTAAATACTCTACGGGATTTGAGAAGACCAATAAAAACAACAAATTAATGACATTTTTGCTAACGCTCACCTACCCAAAAGAAACCAGGTTGATATTAGTCCAATTTATAAGTCAACACTCGAAAATCAGTCTGCTTGAGAAAAGATGTGGGGTGCAACTTGCAAGAATATATGGTAGGGGATATATTTGCACTTTTAAAGTTTAATAAATTCTAATATAATCTACTAGGATACAAATATTTACACATTTAAAAATTTTGCTTCTCCAACTTGCAAAATTCAAGCTTTTCAAAAGCTTTCAATAGCAAACAATGTATAAATTTTTAAAAACTTTCAATCAAACTTGTAACATGAAAATTCATATCAGCTTCAAATTAAGTATAACTAAGAAAAGTTTTTTTTTTTATTTTCATTTTTTCAAAGATATTTCATTATGGTACAACCTTTTTGCATATCGAAAAATGACACATGATTTGTCAAGTACTAGTCCACTATTATACATTTTGTATAATAAGATTGCATGTATGTCACATTTCATTTATTATAGAAGCACCATTATACTTTTATTGTGTGATAACAAGACTTTACACAATTTTAACTTTTTATCTTTGATTTCATCACTATAATAAAAAGGCCATTTTTCAAAATATTTCTCCATCAGTATGTATCTTCCATATTGAGAGATATTTGATGAGATTAATATAAATCTCAAAATTTGAAAAATAAATTCTCCATATAAAAAATATTATTATAAAATTCATATCTAGTCATAGATATATTCTTGCATCTAATCTTTTCATTGGAAATTAATTCTTACTATGGAGACTTGATTTCAAAAAAATTCTCCTTTTAAATTCACAATCTCCACATTGAGACATATTTAATTTCTCAAATGTTAGAGATATATTTCCCTAATATTCTCAAAATGAATATAATACATCCAAATTTAATATAAAATTGTGTATCACAAATATCACAAGTGGATATTTATAATACGTGTTTGCACCTTTTCCCTTCTCAATGGATAAAGCTTGTAATAAATCAAGCAAATACTTGGAAATATATGATAAATACATGAACTGTTTGGATATACTAAAGAAATGTGGCAGATATTCATTCATGTCACATCTAAGAATTCTCAAATGCTTTGCCAACTTATTTTGCATAATTTCATTTCACAACCATAGTCAAAACAATGACTTCATATAATATGATATCACATTCTCTTCATGGAATGAAATCAAACTAATAGTTGTGATTTTGATGATTTTTCATTAATTCAAAATTTGTTGATGATTTTTCATTAATTCAAAATTTGTTGGAAGACATGTATTTACTTTGAATATACATGCTACATTAGACTCTCGAGATTGTTACTTTTGGAATATATTTGAGGCATTAAAAAAAATAATGTATCTTCTCTTTTATGTTTTTATCACTAATGATTTTTCTTTGCACAAGATAATTTAAAATATTTGCAGATTCATATTTGAGTAATAAATGAATCCATTCATATTTAACTTTTGAAAGAGTTGAAATTTTCTTTTGATGATCATCTTTCTTCCAAACAATTCCATGATTCCAATGAATCATTCATCATCAAATATTCATCTCTTGCCAACTTATTTTGCATAATTTCATTTCACAACCATAGTCAAAACAATGACTCACTACAAGCAGATGAACCTATAGCGACAGAAGTTATCTGTCTGTATAAACCCTTTTTCTGTCAGTATAGACCCCTAGGGACTATTCCAACAGAAAAGGTTTCAGTCAATACAAACCTCATCAATATAGAGTCTATACCAACGACAAATCCATATGTATAGGCCTTGGGTTCTATTCTAATGGAAAACTTGTCCATTGGTATAAACCCTAAGAAATTTTAAGAGATTTTACTATGGGTATAGACCTTGATCTTTACAGATGGATAATTCCGTTGGTATAGACCTTGAAAAATTTTAAAAAATTTTACCATGAGTATAAACCTTTACCTATACAAATGGATAATTCCGTTGGTATAGATTCTTTTTTTAAAAAAAAAAAATTTAATAATTCACTTTAATTTTATAATTTTCTCCTGCACTTATTATTAATACCATTTTTTTGAGCTACAAAATCAATTCCTCCAAAGCACACAACCATTTTCATGAATCAATCCCTAACCATTTGCAAGAATCAATCCCT